AGGCACGCATAAGCTGTATGCAAAGGGCCATAGTGCACTCTTATTGTTCTATACAGTTCTTCATGAACAACCATGGATGCCACTCAATGGTTAGGACAAATGGAAAATATAGCCCCGAGTTGCAAGCCATACACTCACCCTCATTTGCATTGGTCATTAAGGGCCGGAACATATTATTCCCACTAACTATAATCTTAGTTACATCAGCCGATGCTCCACCCTTCAATGACTACTCACATGGCTCATTAAGGAGGTTTAAAGGTTTGTTCCACCCACTTCTCGAGTCATTTCTACCCGTGCATGATAATCCAAACATGCATGGTCACCTCGCACCAATTGTTTTTGTTGCTAGCAAAATGTTGCACTCAAGTTGCATCCAATGATCGGTCAAGGCTGAGGGTCCCCTCATATAGGTTTCTCGGTTTAAGGAACTTACTTGCTAGGAGAGATGGCTTAACCACCTAACATAGCATGAGTCTATACATGATTTTCGGATCCTTTGCAAATTGCTCTTGCGAAAAGGGGTTCCACAAGCCCACTTGGTTCTCATGCATAACACTAAGGAAGCGGTTTGACAGTAATTGGGGCGTCATGAAAGGTACAAATATTGCTAATTTTTTAATGGCCATTATGTGGACCTTATGAGGGTTAGAAAGCCTCAATTAAAGCATTCATCAGTAAGTGATTCGAGCGACTGGCCCTTGAGAAAATTCGTAGTTGTTCTTGATGGTAGTACCATGCGGAAAACCTTGAGACCTTTGCTCAATATACCTACAGCACAAATAAGGCTTGTCAGAAAGCCCTATTGATGGTTCTCATGGTAGTTTTTTGCTGCTTCTTTGTAGTTGTTGGCTGTGGTGAGTGGTTCTCTCAACAACATTTTTTATTTGAAGTATTCTTGGAGATTGGTTTATATGGCCCTGTAGATTACAAAGATTGGTGACATAATCTCCATTTCAAACTCCTATGTTCTTTTGGAAACTAATGGTGGTGCCACTTGGGATGGAGCTAGTGGGATGTTTGCTTCTTTTGGGGATAACACTCTTATCTTCATGGAATCCATTTTATCTTTGTTATCTATCAAAAGCATAGTTATCGGGATCTTCTAAGGAGGTGGTCGCTCCCGCTCTAGAAGCTTGATCCTATGCTCCGAGACATGGGATCTCGATTCGGGCATTTCTTAAATTCAGGGAGCTTGATCCTTAATGGGATCCTCTGGTAAGGCTAAGCTTAAGGTATATGCTGATTCATACGATAAATTGGGGACAAGAGAAGGTGAAAAAGATGTCTTCGAACTGACAATAATGAGAGAGGAATTATAGAGATCTAGATCATGTTAATGCATTAAGAGTGGGGATTAGAGGGGTCATGGTGATGGATGATGAGGTCAGTGACAGGTGGATAATTTATTTTAAAAAATTATTAGATGATAACCACTATGGGCACGCAGTGTTTGGAGGAACCTTTGACATAAATGAAGTTGGAGGTCATAAATACATTTGTAGGATTAGGATATCTGATGTGAAAGAAGCTTTGAGAAAGATGAAGATGGGAAAGACTTTAGGACTAGATGGTATCCCAATAGAGGTTTTGAAGTGCTTGGGAGAGATTGGCATGCATTGGTTGTGCATGATGTTCAACAAGATTTTGAGTACAAAGAAAATGGCTGACGAAAGTAGAAAAAATACCGTGGTACCTATTTACGAGAACAAATGAGAAATATATAATTGTATGAACTATCGCGGGATTAAACTTATAAGCCACATTATGAGAGGTTGTTGACGAGAGTGATTGAGCAACGACTACAATATGAAATGAGTGTATCAGAAAATCAACTCAAGTGTATGCTAGGGAGGTAAACAATTGAGGCTATTTTCCTATTTAGGCAATTGTTTGAGAATTTTAGGGGGAATTGAAAAGACCTTCACATATTCTTTATTTATTTAGAGAAAGGAAATGATAGTGTACTTTGAGAGTTAATTTGGTTGGTGTTCGAAAAGAAAGGAGTCTCTAGAGGATATATTGACATGATGAGAGATATTTATGAGGGAACGCTAACTAGTGTGAGGACAACTAGGGGAGAGACAATTGACTTTTAAGTGACAATATCAGGGATCAACATTGAGCCCATGTCTCTTGTTTTGGCTATAGATGAGTTAGGCTTAGGTGGTCTGGCCATGAGCAGCGTCGACCTAGAACTACACCAGTTAGGAGGGGTGATTTGATTCGAGTGAAAGGCTCTATAAGGGCAAGGGTAAGGCCAAAAGGGACATGGATGGAAGTCGTGATAAGAGATATGATGACTTATGGTGTGATTGAGGGTATGGCCCTTGATGGATCGGAATGACAGAATAGGATTTGTATCGCCGACTCCAAGTGGTTGGGATAAGGCTTAGATGTGATGTATATGTGTGTATGTGTGGAAAACACTTAAAAACACACATTGAGCAAATTTCTATAATATTTCACTCATGGCTCATCACCATCTAAAGTCCATCATACAATCACGATTGATAGTATTTGAATTTGATAATTTTTCAACAAAATAGATTGACTTGTAATTTTGTTGGTGTGTGCGCCTTAGTGAGGCGCACTTAAATAAAATATAAAAAAAGTAATTCAAATAATAAAAAGGACCAAATTACCCCTATAAATATTCAGGGTTACTTTCATCATCTTATTTTTTATTTTTTTAATATTTTTTTTAGGTGCGAGTTGGTTAGACGTACACATGTTTCAAATTTTAGGTTAATCTGATTTTTATAAAAATTATTCAAATTCAAACACTATCAAACAACCATGACCATATTATAGACTTTGGATGATGATGAGCCATGAGTGAGATACTATATAAATTTGCTTGTAAGTGTAAGTGTTTTCATATATATATAAAGAGCTTAGGGCTGATACTTGGGGGATATGTCGGGGGCATCTTAGATTAAATTTGGGCTCAATTCTAAGTCGATTTGCATCCGTTTCTTTTGGCTTCCATTGTCCACTTTTATTAGCTTCTCCATGATCTATTATGTCCATAACTGACTTTAGAGCTCATGGATTTTATTTGTGAGGGCTTTCACCACCCAAAATGAGGATTTGTTTTAGTTTGGGCCCAATATGTATTCATTTGGGGGCCCTTCTACCACTTTCTATTTCCGAAGGTTTTCCAGCATATATAGTATTGGATTGCAGCCAGGGTTGACACACCCCAATAGTTGCAATTTGTCACTTACCCTGCCTTTTAACGGTTTCTTGGATAAAGTGATGTGCGGATACCTGCCCTCAGGTTTTAATTGGGTCGTTTGATATGGACTCGCCATGTTCGGTAAAAATACATCCAAACATATGTGTCAAATACCATTGAGATAAGTTCTATAAGATAAGCTCACGGGCCTAAAACTCTTAAAAGAACTTAGAGAGAAGGACGTAGCCCCCCGTCGCGCTATTATCTACGGTCCACAGAGACCCCGGGACCATGTAAACCCATGAACCTCCTCTTACTCATAAAAAGAGCACCAATAGCCCCCTCTTAATGTTTTTATATAAAACAGATAAATAAATTTTTTGTGTAGAAAAAGGTTGGGGCGGTATTGATCTGAGTTTTTAAAGTGTGTAGGTGGATCATAATTCATAGAGAGGGGAAAAACTTATCTAAGGGGGGATTCATTTGAACCCAAAGTTTACACATGCTCTCTGTTGGACCTAGTGAACAATCTCTAAAGAAACAATCAAAGAAAACTTAGAAAATAGATTCCTTCCAAAGAGTTCAAATGGTGGGAAAATTTGCCATTCCATTTTATATCTAAATCTTTAAGAACTCAAACTCTTTTTTCTTTATTTATTTTTTATTGTTCATCTAGTGATGATGATAACATGCAAGACCAGTTTTTTTCTTTATTTATTTTGTATTGTTCATCTAGTGATGATGATAACATCGAAGATTTTCTTCAAATGGATGAAATTTAATCGCTGCATTTCTCTCCCCAAAAAACTCCTTTTTCTAGGTCGTTTTCAATATGGTCATCTACAAAATTGGGGTCAAACAAGTCTTCTTTATTTTATTTTTATTTGTAATTTTATTTTTTCGGTTTAAGGAATTTAGGACCCGAAAGAAAATTTGACTAAAACCTGGAAAATGGTTTTTTTGTATGGAGAGAATCTATTGACTGCCCATTTTATATTTAAGCTTTTAAGAACTCAAAACTCTTTTTTTTGTTAAATTCATGTAGTGATGATGGGTGCATCTAAAACCATTGTTTCTGTAAATAGATGGCATGTATTCACTGCATTTTCTCTCTCTTAAAAAAGAAACAATTTCTGGAGTTATTCATTTATGTTTTCTTTGAGCATGTTAACTGGGATGACCATGGGCTACCCACAAAATTTTCTCCTCAGATATGCCTTTTTAGGAATTTTGGGCCAATGAGCTAACGTTTAGAAATTAGCTTAGGGGCATTATCATCATCATCATCATCAGAGCCTTTTCCCAACTATATGGGAGATGGCTACCTATTAGTATATGTAGTATATTTCCATCCATTATAGACACACACACACACACATACATACATAAGCAATTTTGAGTTAAGAGAGGTTTGTGGGTCCCAAATTTTACACATCTACATTTTGTCTAGATTTTGATTAATGTGTGAGTGACGTCTAGATCTCGTCTGGATAGAAATATAATAGATCAGACATCCCAGGTTTTTGAAATCTAAACCTACTTCCGCACCTATCTGGCCAAATCAATTAAGAATAAAGTGTAAGTGACGCCAATGATATGCAAAATGTCATCAGTCTAAATTTCTTCTTTGGGAGATATGGTTAATAATTAGAAATACTCATGATACATACATGCATACATACATACATATGTATACACAAAGACATACATAGGATCGACCTCTGTTAGGTTTTCTTTAGAATCTTTGTTGTGCATGTAGCTTCTACCATATCTGTTGGGATCATTCTAAAACTCGAGCATATGGTCTATGTTTTTGTAGCTACTGAGAGAGTTCCCACGTGATTTGGCTTCTTTGAATAGAGCTCAAGCGCTATGCTTCTACATGGGACGCCCAGATCTATCTTTGGGTCTTGTAGAACAGGTTTCTTTCTTTCTGCATTCTTGGGTTTTATGTACTTACTTTTTTATGTGGTCTATTCATATAGAGCTCCTTTGTACTGTCATTTTGGACCACCAGTGATATATTTCTAATGCTTAATATCTTGCATCAATAAATTTGATGGATGAATTTGTTATTGTTTGAGCTGTTTGAAGATCTGATAATTATTTGACAGCAGGTTTTACCAGAAAATCAACAGGAGAGCTACATATATGGGATGCTTGCATTTCCGTTGCTGGAGCTTGGGAGAATGTCTGATGCAGAGATTTCTGCTAGGAAAGGACTTGAAATCAACAAAAGTGATCCTTGGTCACAGCATGCAGTGCGTCATTACTTTAAATTTTTGTTTGATGAAACAAAACAATTTCTTTTTATGATGCATGCCATTCATCTTCTGTTCTTCATTATGGTATTTGGTTTGGAAAACTTACTTATTTATCTTGGTACAATGATTGATATTAACCTTTTAGCTTTGTAACATTCTTTGTATAGATTGTGTTGCTTTCTGTGGGAAACAAGGAAGATGCAAATGACTATACACAAGCTTAAACTGGAAGGGGTGCATTACCACCATCGTTACACATTCTAGAAAATACAAGAACCATTTTCTATTTGTAGTGCGAAGTTTGTGTACTGTCCAAGGTTAAGGGTAAATACAGAAAAATTACTAAATAGCCTAGAGAAAGGTTACTAGAGGAACACAATGGCTACTTTAAATTCTCTTTTCCTCTCCTTTTGATGAGACAACCTTGGCTTAAGTTTGCTTGATTATGTATGCAACATGATAGAAGATGTGCAGCACACTGATTATAGGTAATATGCAACTTTTATTTAAAATTATGATGTTTTCCCTCATATACCACTTTGCGATGTCTTCATTTTCTTCATGTATCATAAATGTCTATGTTTATATGGCAGTTAGCTATGATATTCATCACTGTCTTGCAGAAATGAATGATGCCCCATAAAACCCTATTCCTCCAAACCATGATATGCGAATGAAAACAATTCTCAATCCTCCCTCAATCCTCTTTAGATTGAATGCCGATCTCTATTGATATCAAGGTTTATGACAGAAGCAGCTTCAACTAATTGCTAGTTATGCTTTGGATGACGGTTGTTGTGTTCCATCTACTAGGCCCCTCAGTTATAGGTGCTCTCGCATGAAATAGTTTCATGAAGTGAAGTGTTTTTTATGGTAGTGATCCACTTTTATGTATTTTGGAAAGCAGAGAGTTGGGTTTTGTATTTCTTGAGGCTTCTATTAAATGTCAAATTGACCCTGTAAATCTGGATTTTTTTTTGTTGGTTTTTTTTTTTTTGGGGGGGGGGGGGGGGTATTTCATGTTTGTTTCACGGAAATGGTTGATAGTGATGCATGATAAAATTATTCTTAGTTTTAATTTCTGTAATTTCAAAGGTTGTATACTTTAATTTAATTTTGAATTTAGATTCTACTTTAAGGTTTTAAAGTTTTTTGTATTCTAAGGTTTTTTTTTTTTTTTTTTGTAATATTGTTAGGATTTTAGGAGTTTTTTAGACAAGTAGTTGGAGTGATTATGGAATATTTTGTTTTGTCAGGGGTAAAAATGTCATTACAAATTTTGTGTTTAAGTTGTGACTATTAATCAATTTTATTTTTACAAAGTTTATTTTGGGCTTTGTACCCTAATTAAAATATAAATAAAGCACATGATAGGCCTACGGTCATTCACTTGAGTTTTAAGGAAGAAAAAGGCAGCTTTTATTTGGAGCTGTAGTTAATGTTTTTGAGAAGGAAACTCATGTTTCCTCCAACTTGTGCTTGTCCTTTACTTGGAATTTGTCAATCTTTTGTTTCTTTATCAAGTCCCTATATCAACTTTGCCGTTTGGTTGGAGAAAACTCATGCTTGAGTTTTGAAGTGTGCTAATATGAATTCAACGTCAAAACCACCTTCCTCAGCCTTCTTTTTTGTTGGCTCAAAGATTTTTTGTGATAAGAAGAAATCCTTAAGAAACCGATCCTGATATCTATATTGAGGAATCATACAAATTTATCAAATTCGGCTATCCTTGAACTCATAGTGAAAATAATGTAAGAAATTCATGATCATCATTATCATCATATGGTTTTCTCAACTATTTAGGGTTGGCTATACGAATATTGGTCGACCATTCTGCTCTATCAAGGTCATACCCTTAGTGAGACCATAAGTTGCCATATCTTTTCTCACTACTTACGACCTTTTTTACCCTTTTTGAGCCTTCTATTTGAATCAACTCGCACCTCCTAACAGGTGTTGTACTGGGTCTACACTGCACATGGCCAGCCCAACTAAGCCTACTTTCTCTCATCTTATCACCTAATTGAAGCCACACGTAAGTTCTCCTTAATGTATCCATTTTGAATTCTATCCCTTCTTATCTTTCCACTCATCTATCTCAATATCCTCATCTCAGCTACACTCATCCTATAGGTATGTTGTTTCTTGACTGCTCAACATTCCACCCCATAAAGCAAAGCTGATCTCATAGCTATCCTATATGACTCCCCCTTCAGCTTCATTGGTACGCGGCGATCATATAAAACTCTCTAATTCTATGTGCAACATCTTCCTCAATGTCTTAATTTACTTGGATGATAGACCCAAGATATCGAAAGTGTGATCTTTTTAGTATTTCTTAGACTTCAATCTTAACTAGTTCCTTGTCTCTACTCTTATCATTAGAAACTTGCATTCCATATACTTTGTATTAGTCTGGCTAATTTTAAGACCTCTAGATTCTAGAGCATCCCTCCAAAGTTCAAACTTTATGTTGACGTTGCTTCGATTCTCATCAATCAAAACTATGGCTTGTGTGAACAACATAAATCATGGTACCTCTTCTTAAAGGTGCCTCGTTAAGTCATTCATAACTAAGACAATGAGGTATGGGCTCAACACTGACTCCTGATGTAGACTTATTGTCACTGAAAACTCACTCATATCTTCACTCATTGTTCGCACACAAGTTACTATTCCCTCATACATCTCTCACAAAGTCGATATAATATGGAGACTCCTTTCTTTTCTAACACCCACCAAATTAAATCTCGAGGTACTCTATCATAAGCTTTTTCTAGATCATTATAATATTATGTGGAGGTCTTTTCTCTTCCTCCCAAACTTCTCAATCAGTTGCTTAAGTAGGAAAATAGCCTCAATTGTTGACCTCCTTGGCATAAAACCGATTGGTTTTCTGATACACTTGTTTTATGCCTTAGTGGTTCCTCAATCACTCTCTCCCGCAGCTTCATAGTATGGCTCATAAGTTTGATCCCTCTATAGTTCACAAAATTTTGTATGTCTGCTTTGTTCTTGTAAATAGGTTCCACAATACTTTTCCTCCATTTATCTGACATTTTCTTTGTTCTCAACACCTTGTTGAACAGCTTGGTCAGCTAGTCAATGCCGATTCCCCCATACACTTCCAAACTTCTATTGGGATACCATTTGGTCCTAAAGCTTTTCCTATATTCATCCTTTTTAAAGATTCCTTTACTTTCGATATCTCAATCCTATGAATGCATTTATGATCTTCACCCTCATTTATGCCAACAGTTCCTTCTACCACTGTGTTTCTATTGGATTCATTATTTAATAATTTTTTAAATAAACTCTCTACCTTTTTGACCTCTTCATCTGTTATCAAGATCCTTTGATTATCACTCTTAATACATTTAATATGGTATAGATCCTTAAACTATTTCTCTTTCATTTTGCTAATTTGAAGACATATTTTTTACCTTCTTATTCCCAGTTTACGGCATAGATCATATGCCTTAAATTTAGCATTATTTACTATTTGCTTAGTATTTTTCTTAGCATTTTTATATTCTTCTAAGTTTTGTTCATTTTTATTACATTGCTAAGTTTTAAAACATAATCGCTTTTCGCTAATGGCCTTCTAAACCTCATCACTCCACCGCCAAGTTTCCTTATCGGAATTTCTTTTCCCTCTAGTTTGTCCTAAAACTTCTTTTGCCACTTTCTTAGTACAGTCAGCCATCTTATTCCACATAACATTGACCTCATGTTCAGAGTTTCATTTTCCTTCTTTAACTAAGTTATTCTTAAATAATTATATTTTCTCATTTTTAAATTCCACCACCTATTTCTTGGATACTTATTAAATTCACGTGTTCTCTTGATTTCTTTATGCAGACATCTATAACCATGAGCCTATGTTACGTGGTTAAGCTCTCTCCTGAGATAATCTTACAGTCTTTACATGATGGTCGCTCTACGTTCTTAGCTATGAAGAAGTGTATCTGGCTTTTATGTGATCTACTTTTATAGGTTATTAAATGTTCATCTCGCTTTAAGTGTTTGCTATTGCTAGGTCATACGCCTCAGCAAAATCTAGAATAACCTCATCCATCTCATTTCTTTCACCAAACCCATATCCCTCATGTACCCTTCATATCATCTACTATCCTTCCCTACATCACCATTTAAGTCTCCTCCTAAAAACGTCCTTTCTCCATATGGTATGTCTTGGGCTAGTCCATTCATGTCCTCCTAGAATTGTCTCTATCCTCTAGTTCTACTTGTGGTGCATAAGCACTACGTATATTAGTTATCTTTTTCCCTAATACAAGTTTAATTAGTAAGAGCCGATCACCTACTCTCTTGACATTAACTATTTTATCTTTAAATCTTTGTCTACTATTATGCCTACGCCATTTCTATTATTATCCTTTCTTAGATACAAAAAATTATATATAATTTCTTAGATTTTTCCCCCTTCCACTTATTTCCATGTAGATAAGCTATGTTTACTCTCTTTTGTCTCATTGTATTTACTAACTTCATATACTTACGTGTAAGCATTCCTACATTCCATGTGGCTATACGAATCAATAAGTAGGAAACTTCAAACCAATATTTTGGCCTATAGATGCTTTCTCCACATTTATTGCATTACTATCTGAATCCAGGGCCACAATTTGAGTTTTACAAGTCAACTACACTTCCCTTGCACTACTATGCTTCCATTGCCCTAAATCCCTTGAATGCTACACCTCTTTGATATGCTTAAGAACTTCAATAGCCTCGATACCAATTCATGTAGGGCTTTGATGAAGAAAATGAAAAAATAACAAACTGCAAACAAAGCACAACCACAAGTTGAAGGAAACCTGATTTGTCTTCCTAGAAAAACTGTAATTATAGCTCCAAGTTAAACTTCCAATTTTTCCTTCCTAATACTCACGTGAACCCTAGGTCTTTCATGCTCTTTCTTTATATTTTAATTTGGGTACAATAATCCAAAATAGCCTGAGCCAAGATAAAATTAG